ACAAATTGCATGCAACAACAAGAAATCTTCTGAACGATTGTTTAGTGTAATAAGGGACGATTTCCGTGTAATTCTAAAACTACTTAGGACACAGCAACGACCGTGATTCCCTATGGTGTAGAGGCGAATAAGGATGAACGACATCATTGAATAGGCATCCCATCGTGATCAGATCATCCAGTTTTAGTCTGAATGTCAATGACAGATATCGCTGTATATTCTTTGACTGGCATTGTTCAACTTCTCAGCTACACCACCCGTTTCGTCCTCACACTTTTCAAGGTTTGATGAAGCATGGCACAGCACAGAAACGCCTGTCTAATTCAATCCAAGCCTTTGCATTTTTTTAGCCCAGATTTCAATTTTCTTACATTCAACAATACTTTTATATTTGACTACTTTGTTTATCGATAAATCTTGCTCGTGTTAAAATGTGCATTCGCTACCGTTCTGTTTGTTTTTTGTGTTCCATAATATCATTTCGTAACTTTACTATTTAATAGCGCAAAAGCATTTGTGATTGGATACAAACCGAAGAACACCGGTAAAAGTATTAATTGGAACAACAGTCTATCATACTCCTGGTACGCAACCAATACTTTGTAAATTTCTGACAACAAAAGTTGTGTATACCAAATAATGTTTTATTCGGAAACAAAACTAATGCGAAATTAGGCCAATATGCATAATATGCCGAAATTTAAATAATTTATAGAGGTTAAAAAACGTTGCTTTTCTATTCATAAATCGATTAACTGAAATATAAAGTATGACATAAACAAATAAAGATATAAAGAATTTCATTATAAGGGAGATGATCTACATCTAGACAAATGCACATTATACATATTCCAACAATGTAGTCTTTTTATGATAGTTCGTGCCATTTACCCTCTTCATTTAAGTCATTGCAATGTCTTATTAACTTATTAATTATTCATATTCCCGTTAGAATTCATGTGGAGCCTTGAAAAGGACGCCGAATTGACAAACCCAGTTCTGAAATAACATCAGTTGCTCTGGAATGCTCTGATTATATTTCCTTCTCTCCTTCTGACCCATCATCTTTCAAAATTTCAAAATCACAACTTGAACAATGTATACATGAGATAAGACTATGGATGTCAAAATTTTTTCTCAAATTAAATGATGACAAGACTGAATATCTGCTTTTAGGATCCAAAAATCAACTTAATAATGTAAATAGATCATCCATTGCGATTGGCAATTCCAATATAAATGCGTCACCTTCAGCCCGAAATACAGGTGTAATTTTTGACAGTAATATGTTCATGGATGTGCAGGTGAATAACATTACTAAACTTTGTTATTTTAATTTAAGGAACATTGGTAAGATCCGCAAATATCACAAGTTGTCTATTTGTATATTGTTGTTCATGCTATATGTTTCCAAGTACTTTATTTTTTGTATATTTCACGTATTTCTTTTTTGTTTATGTATTAGGGCCTATATTGTACAGTGTACTTGAACACAAATGTGAAAGGTGCACAATAAAAAACGTATATTATTATTATTATTATTGTTCTTGTCAATATTGCAACACACATTTTATTTCAAGTAAAATGTAATAATTGCACTGAAAGTGAAAAGTTGGTTTGGTTTGTTGGCCTGGAAATATTTAGATGTCGTCAAAGATGTCAACCTTGAAATTATCAGGAAATCTTACTTAAGCGATACCTCAGTTTGAATATGTAGATTTTGCACTTAATCATCCAATCTTCTGTTTTGATCTATCAGCTCATCAAGATCTTTCCAAAACAGGAGTAAACATAAATATTCATATTGAAAAAACACAAGGAGATGTAACCGGTTATTGTTTAATTCTCGAAGAAGCAAAACATTTAATTAAAATAGCTGATAGAAGAATGATGAGAATTGAGTAAAAAATACACCCTTAAAAATGAAGCCAGAAACTTTAGTCAAGAAAATAATAGAAGCTATTGAAACAGCTTCAGCAACTGTAATAACTTATAATGGTAAAAAAATCAACATAACTAAAAAAACTTATTGATAAATACAAATATTGTAAAGTCAGAGATGATATAGACTTAGAGAGAATTGACACAAATGCAAAAAAAGGTGGATTTATATTTTCCCTACCTTTAATATTTGCTGGTCTTACCGCGGCGAGTGCAATAGCTGGTGGTATAGCTGCTGGAGTACGTGCTACCAACGAAGATAAAGCAGCTGCAGTAACAGCTGCCGAAGAACATAGACACAATTTAGAAATGGAAAAACAAGCACATAAAGCAGCTACTGCAAAAAAAAGTTTCAGGAATGGGAGATATGATAGGCACAATAAAAGAATTTGGAAAACGATTTGGGGAAGAAACCAAGAAAACTGTTAAACAAGGATTAAATAGGATTAAATAAATTAGTAGATAGTATTGACACAGGAGAAGTCACAGTCAAACATAAGGGTAATGGAATATTTTTAAAAAACATAGGCACTGGAGAAGGAATATATCTTTCAAAGTATAAAGGAGATGGAGTGATTTTTGGAACAAATAAAATAATAAAAAATGGGAAAGAAATTCAAACATTCAGAAATATTTCCTAATAACCCAATGCTTATGTGTATTTGTGGAAGTTCCGGTTCTGGGAAAACTCATCTCACTTTTAACATGTTGACAACACCAAACCTTTTAGACTTTGATTCACTATATATCTACACAACAACACCAGAGCAATCGTATTATCAATTCCTCAAAGCTTTAGAATATTTACCAAAGAAAGATGTTCAAGACATATTTCAATATTATGAAGAAAACGAAGAAGAAGTGGAAATAAAAGATATCATAGAAAACTTCATTAAATCAAAGAATCCAACGGATATAAAAGTTTTTCTTACGAAAAATGTTAATGATCTAGACTTGTCTAATATTGATAGCAATCAAAAGAACTTAATATTGTTTGTCGACTGCGTAGCGCAAAGAAATCGAGCTGTTCAACAAGAATTTTTCACGAAAGGAAGACATCACAATTGTCACTGCATATAACAATCCCAATCTTTTTACGGGGTGGATTCTATGTTCATAAGAAAAAATGCAAATTGTTTTTTATTATTTGAATTAAATGATAAAGATTTATCTCAAATCATTCAGTCGATAAATCACGGAATGGATAGAGATACATTTAAAAGGTTTGTAAAGCTCAATGGAGAAATGCAGATGATCATGGATATGTATTTGTAAATACTAGAAAACCTGCAGGTGAAAGAGTTATGATCGACATATGTTAATTTTATTTTTTTTAAAATGGATAATTGGAATAATATTTTAAAAAGAAATAGAGAATATATCAAAGCTAAGAATAAAATAAAGACCCAAGTTGAAGAAAAACAAATTACAACAACTTTGATTAACAGAAAATCTACAAACTCTATTTCAACCAATATTAAAAAGTCAAGAAGATATTAAAAGGAGACACCCCCCTCCCATAGAACCTTCACCCCATAAAGATCCCCCAAAACCGATTGAATTATAATTAGGACATTAGATGATATAAATCGTCTTTTTTCAAACCCTGACCCAGTTTTACCAAAGAGCATTTCACCAATCGTTGATGATGAGGGGTTATTGTTTAATGGTTTTAGAATAAGATTTAGTCCAAATTCCCCTTTATTCAAAATCGATACAAAAGATTTTACATACACATTAACAAAAGGATTAATGGATTTAATGAATGGGGAGGATGTTGGTATTGTCGATTATTAGGATTTAGTATCATACTCAAAATTTCTAGATGCAATAAGAAAATCGGGACCCGAAACAAATAGATCGAAAGAAGTTAAACTATATATAAGAGCAATTGAACATGATGATGAATACGAAGTTGATGAAGTAGATGATTATGCTGAAGACAACAATCCAATCATACAAGAAATAGACGAATTCGAAGATATGATATCTGGAGAAGGTATAACGTTTTTATCCAACAACAACGAGGAACTACTTGATAGATTACAAATAATATTAGCGGCAATGAAGGAAGGGCATCGATCACACAGGCAATATAATGAAGTGAATTGTATATTAAAAAGACTCATAGAAAAGGGTATTATAGATAAAAATGATTATAAAAGCGTGATTAAAAATGTGAAATAAAGAACAACTATTCGTTATCAGACATTAAATTGTCTCTAGATTATGAATACGAACTCGATCGCAATAAAGAATATGAATTGGGATTAAAGTATTTATCTGTTTACAATTCCATTAGAAATATCAACGAAAAAAATAACCAAAAAAAAAAAAATCAACAGATAATGGAGTTCCATTCAAAACCATACGTTTACTACCAGGAAGCTACGAATACGTAGCCATTAACGAATACCTATCTTAATATGGAGGAAGTGTAAATGGTAAAAACAATATTGAATTCGAAGGTAATTTGAATCTGAACAAAATAAAATTGATATGAAGAAATAATAGTCAAGTTGATTTCAACGTAGAAAATCCATTGAATGCGTTACTAGGATTTGATAAACAAATATACACGCAATCCACTTTATCACCACATAAAGCTAATATCGAGAATGATATCGATGTCATAAATATACATTGCAATTTGATAAACGGTGGATTTTTCAATAAATACAAACGTCAGATTATTTACAGTCTTCCAACATTCATTGTACCGATTGGATATAGAATTATAGAGAAACCATTTCAAACTACGTATTTACCACTTAATTCCTTTATGATTAAAGATATAAATCTGGAAATCAAAGATGGTAAAAATAGGTTTATAGATTTTGGTAACGAGGAAATTGTTATTCAACTTCATTTAAAACAAAAAAATTATTGAGTAATTAAACACCTTTCATTCTCTTCTTAAATAGTTAGATAATCGAAATCATCAAATTCATAGTTTTCATCCAAATTCAATTCATCTTTATCACCATAAGGATACATGATCCTTCATCGTCCGGTGCTTTTCTCTTAACGAGATTCAGATAACTTCTGAAAACTTTAATTTATTTATCACCATCCTTTGGAATAACTACTCCATTGGTGAAACTTTTTTCCCATGGTTTCTTAAATTCATTCGTCACATCATGTCCACTAGCTAATCGAATATAATCTTCTACACTTATCTTATCATTAGAGTAACCCTTAAACGTTTTCTTTTCTTTTAGAATACCGTCGGAAGTTAGAATGATATTGTATTTAACTTTTGGCGCTAAATATAAACCATATATAATTCCACCATCACCGTAATCATTCTTTCCTTTACAATAATCATTTTCGAACACCAACCCAGCTTCATTTAATTTATCCCAATTGCTAGACGAAATGTATAAACTATCAGTATCTGTATAGTATATTTCCGGCTTATAAAATCCGTCTATTACGTGAATAAAATTATTCATTTTATTTTTTTACTGTGAGATAATACGAAAGACCCCAAATGACTAGGTGTTAGTCGTGTAGATTTAGGAGGTATACATTCAAATTCTTTTTCTTCTTCATTTATCTCAACGATATATTGAGTGTCATTCACTTTAGGATAGCTTTTGACGTGTTAATCGAAGTTGGCTTTTAAAGTTGCTTCACTCCATAAATGTCTCGATGTAGTTATATCCTTCTGAATAGATTTACCATACAATGAATTACCTAAAAATTTCATGCAATTACTACCTACGATATTACCTTCTCGTTTATATTTATTTCTAAGATCTCTCGAAATTAAAATATAATCTCCATATGGTGGAGTTTTAAAATTTTCTTCGTATACTATACCATCAAATATTCTAATAATTCGTCCACCGGCTTTAACTATTTCTTGAATATCAACCGATGTTAAAACTTCTGAAAAGAAACCATTTCTGAACCTGATTTTAGTGCCAGTTTCCTTATTACCTTCTTTGTTCGTAAAAGTATCTTTAGCTGGTATGGGTTGGAAGAACATGTTAGTAGGATATTGAAACCAGACTTTTAAAATAGCCGTTCTAGGTCTGAATTTCTGCTCATTAAAGAGCTTAACTAATTCTTTATTTTCTTCCGGTAAAACCGGTCTACCACTTTCCGCTTTAGGATATTCGCTGTCTAAATCCGACATGGCGGAAGCGTACAAACCGTTAGCATCAAAGGCCATTAGTTTAGTACATTTTATTTTTTTAAGTTTTGAATTAACTTCCGTTTTATCTTTTTTACTTTTACTATATTCTTTAAATAAATCAATTATATTATCACTTTCACTAAAACTCCTTTGATACATTACACATTTCATCCATTTTATTCGTTTCAAATGATTTTCGATTTGCCGAAACTCTTCCTCCTTTAATGGATTTTCTGATTAAATATCTTATAAAAGGGTGTGAATATGAGTAAACTTTTTTCTACGGTTTCTTTTTCGACGTGTTTCGGAACCATTCTAGTAGTTTCATACCATTCTTCTTCAACCATTTCTTTATGGTAATGATACAAATAATACCAAACCTTTAAAGATAAAGAAGGAGCCGTTAGATTATTGGAAATATTCTGGAATACAATTTCTTTCATAACTTTGTTATATTTTATCAAACAAGCTCCAAGACATAACGTATCTCTTTTAGCGTAAATAATTATTTGTTTTTGTCCTTTCCATTTTTTTCTGTAAATATTCATCGGTGAATGAATTAGTTAAAGGTAGAGATAGAATGCCTCTAGCTGTTACTAGTGGACATTGCGTTAGTTTTTTCGCATTTTTAAGCACGATCCACTTATCAAAACCGCTACCGTTATGAGAAATTAACATTTTTCTTAGTTTTTTTTAAATTAATGAACGTGCAAGAATAAGGAATGGCTTTATTCGTTTCTTTTTCGCTATAGGTTTCGCAATCCCATGCGTATAAACAATCATCGTGAATTGATTGAAAAACGTTTAGTTTTAGAGGTGAAACTTGTGTTACCGCATTATCATCAATACAAGTTCTCCATACGTTTTCATCGTAATTATCTTCTATTTCTTCAATGCCTAAGGTTTTGTTTTTTCTTCTAATGAGACAGAAATGTGATGTATGTAAGTAAAATACCCAATCTAATTCCTCGGATACCTTCTTTGGTTGAAAATGTCTATGTTTGGGCATTTCTTATTAAATTCACAGATTCTAGTAATTGTCATAACTGAAATCTTGAAATTCTTTTGTGTAGTCTTTGTTCAAAACACGATTTACGCACTTTACAAAGCAGTATCCATCGCTTGGTATATAACAATTTATACCGCTATATTCATTTATCTTTTTGAGTAGGGTAACACCACTACCCTTTTTTGATCTTTTTATTTCTTTGAAATTGTTTCTACGTAAAATGATTTTTCCTGAGAAATACCAATCAGAAGCATCCGATTTTACATCCACAGTTTCGAAGAAATTGTGAAAAGTTTTGGCATTAAAGCCTACAAATTGCATGTTTTGTTTTTGTCCTTCATCTTGAATCATTTGCCCTTTAAATGTTATAAATTTATCAGAGATAAGCTTAATAACACTGGAAAAAAGTTCATTTGATATGAATGTTTCATCGTCTAAAATTTCAATTTTAGTCATATTTTTTAAGCAACTATTTTGAACTAGGAATTTTTAACTTTTATTGATGATATTTCTACATCAAATTTATCTAAAATTTCATTGAATTCTTCTAATTCGTCAATGGTTATGTTCTTATCTTCTCTCGATCTTTCGAAAAATATGAATAATTTATTAAGATATATATTTCAAATTTCTGTTTTCTTTTTATATTGAGATTTCTGTTTTGATGTAAAACCTAAAGTAATCAATCCACAAAATGAAGTTTGAACGGCAGTGAACGCGGCTCATACAGTTGGGACAATTATTGGAAGCATTAATCCACCGGTTACGGCTGTTTTGAATCAATTCTACTCCTCGTTTTTCTTTTAGTTCATTTTGTTTTTCTATCATATATTGTTGTCTGCTTTCTAGTTCCATTTTTTAGGTAATTAAATTAAATGAATTTCTGATAAAGCTGCTACGTGATTACTATCATCAATAAAAACTTCTACAGATACTAAGAATATTTGTTCTTTCGAATCATTAATCTTGTTAAGATGAATTGAAAGGTACGGTTTTTCAATATAGATTGATATATTAACATATGCATCATCATCTCTTATTGTTGGTATTAAAAATTTTGTTTTTGTTGACTTATATGAATATCAATTGAGGTAAATATATCATTATTAACAAAATATAGTTTTACGTATTCAAAGTCTGATGTTCGTAAAAAGTCATAACTTATATTTCCTTCTTTTTTTGGTTCTGGATTTCTAATAATACTTGTTGATGGTCGACTTTCCGTTTCCAATATCATATCAAAACTACTCAATGCAAATTCATCTTCTTCCTTATCTGGTATGATTAACATTCTAAACCTATCTATGTATTTTCCACTCGTTTTAATTTCATATAAGTGATCATTCTTGTTTTCGTCGTTAATTTCTTATTCTTTAGTTTCTACATTTTCTGTACCATTGATACACTGAAAAACGTTAGCGTTAAATAATTTTTTAATATGTGAAAATCGTGAGTTTTGTCTGAAGATAATTTCAATTACAAGTTTTCCTTTAAAAATAAAATAAGAATAATCACCAACAAACATTAAATAGGGATTAACACCACTATGTTTATATACTCTAATATTTGCTGTAAATCCATATTTTTTATATTCATACTCTTTTGATCTATCAATATTATCAGTAATAGAAGCATCATCAGAACTCAAATTTCCAAATGGAAGATTGAAATAATATGATTATATGATACTTTTCTAATGCGACTATATTTTTGTCCTGTTTTAAAACTACGTTATTAATAGTGGTTATCTGTTTTTGAATAACACTATCATCAATATTTTGTATTTGTTGTTGAATATAGGTTTTAATTTCGATATCATCAATATTTTGTATTTGTTGTTGAATATATGGTTTTGATTTCGCTATCATCTATGTTTTGTATTTGTTGTTTAATATTTCTTAGTTCTTTTTGTAATTCACTATTAAGTTTAGTTTCCAGAGCATTTAATTCCTGTTGAAATGTATCTTCATTTTCATCTGAAATGTTATCTATTAATTGTTGAATGTCAAATTTTTGTTTTGCAATCTTATCCTCTAATTTAGATATAAACGAAATTAAATTTGTAACTCGGTTCTATTCGCTACGTTGATCAATTGTTTTTGAATAAAACTTATTAAACCTTCTACCTCTTGTTGTAGTTTAGTTTCATTAACAAAATTTTTATTATTTAGTTGACGTTTGAAGAATCTTTTCACATTACTTATTTTATCTTCTAAATGGTTTTTATTTACTTCAATTGAATTTATTAGTTCCCGTAAATATTTCTTGTGAACAGCGTCATTATCGTTTTCCGGAGATTTTAAATTAGTTACTTTGAAATTGTTCATATCTAAATCACCTTGAAGAGTGTCTCCGATTTGATCCACAAAGTAAGGTTTCGCTTTATTTATCCACGTTGTAGTGTTAGGTTTTTTGGTTTCTAACGATAAAGAACCCAATCCAAATTTGTTCGGAATTTTTATTGAGTTAAATTTATTATAATTTCTTCAAACTGTTTTCCTAAACTCAACTGATATAAAACCCAAAGTGAAAGCTGTCCACAAAACTTTTGTCCCGGTAATTGAATTTGAAATGTTGAACATTTGATTGTTTTATTAGTCAATTTCAAGTTGGTTCTAATCCAAAAGAATCGAAGAAGTATAAGTTATTTGAAGAGTCTTTGTACACAGCAGAATGATGAACTCCTTTTTGATCGGAAGTATGTATATTTGTTATAGCGTAAAATTTACCTTTCTTATATTTCAGATCATTTATTTCATCTCTCATACAATAATAAAACGGTGATATACTTAACTCATTCGCCCATCTCATAAGTTGAAAGTTTGTGGTTGTATCAGTTCCATATTTATCGAGAAAGATATTCATTTTTAAAAGTCAGTTCGTTTTGATAAAACCTACCTATGATTTGTTCTTTGTCTTGATGGATTAATTCACATGTCGGAGGTGATGTGGTGTTTACTTTATCAACGATGAATATTTCGTTTGTCCAGTATCCAACATAAACCTTTTCGAATTTGCTTTTATATTTGAAAATACGAACTCGACCTCCGACTTTAAATTTGGGTTTGATATTTAAATTCTTTATTTCATTTTCGTAGTTATGTTGCGCGTTAATTGACTTTATATTTGAATTATTTGTGGCTTGTGTTGGTGTGGCACCTATAGATGAATGAATTTGTTATTTTATTCATCTACAACCTCTGGTAATATTTTAAGCCATTTTTGAGATTTCAATTCCGTGAGCTTTTTGAATAATTTATTTTTTAGAGTTCTATTATATCTCTCAATAACTACAGCTTTATCTTCATTATGCGTGCTGTAAATTTCAAACCCAAGTGATTTCATATTTTTGTTATAAAATTCACTTCCTTTATCTACCCACAGTTTTTCTGGATGTCGGTTAGATTGTTTCATAATCGTTTCAAATGCGTATTTGACTGATAATCCTGTTTTGGTTTTCAAAGGAATAATCCATGCATATCTCGTATACAAATCTATAACTGTTAAGCAATATTTAAATCCTCTTTCGACAGGCATATTAATTAAATCGGCTGACCATATTTCATCTTTTTCAAATACTTTAACTTTTAAAAAGTTTTTAGTTTTTCTGAATTCTTTATGAATTTCATCCGCTAATCCCATGCCCAATTTCATCTTTGCTTTTAACAGTTTAATGATTAGAGTCCTTTGCATTCTCTCTTTGAAAGTTGGATTTGGAATATTTTCAAGTTCGATTATCATTTGTCTGTCTGCTTCGTGTCTGAAGTTTATGTCTTTTTTTCTGTATAATATGTCGTGTTTAAGCGCAGCGGCGTCAACTCTATTGACTGGTTCTTCACCCGGTTTGGGTTTATCGTTTTCGTCTAATCGCAGATCTAACCTGGTACCTGGACCAGTGTAATTATGACCGGGGGATGTTTTTCTCCGGGATATTTTGCCCATGGAAATCCAGGAAGAGAACCCAATGATTTTTGTATATCTCCTGAACTAAAATAGGTTTTTGGGGCGTGAGCGACAATCATTTTTATCCTATAATTTTAAAACCTTTTCTTTTCCTTTCTTCTAATCTCCTGTTTCGCAGATCTCTAATTAGTTGTAATTCTTTCAACTCGTTAGATTGTTTCACTGTGTCGCTTATACTCTTTCCCGCTTCCGCGATTGAGCCGACGGCTTTAGCCCTGATGAAATAGGTGATTTGTTGTTTGAAACAAAGCTAGCTACTTTTGGAATTATTGTTTTACCTAGAGAAAATATTGATGAAAAGATACCGTCGCCCGAATAATCTTCGAATTTGTGTTGTTCGTGTTTTAGAATTAAACTCATTCTATTTTAAAATGAATTAATTTAACGAAGAAGTTGTGGTCTGTTTTTTTTTTCAAAAAAGAGTTATCTTCCTTCTAGAAGTTTCTACATTATTAAAACCGGATGTTAAGCGAAACAAGGAAGTTATTTTATATAAGGGTATTTTTAATATGCTTTTTTCGTTTAATTTAAAGAATAGGTTCTTTTTTGGGGTGAGGGTTGATGGAATGTAGGAATTGATTGAAGGTGTTTTTGGTGTAAGAATTTATGAAATGTTAGGTGTTAAGCTGTTTTTTGGTGTAAGAATTTATGAAATGTAGGGAGTTTAGGTCTTTTTGGGGACCTTTCAATATGGTCGCACTTTCCCCATGGAATGAAATGGAATTGGAAATCCCCTTGCGACCATATTGAAAGGTCTAGTACTACTGTATGCTAAGATCTGTTGATGAGATCTTGATTGAGTTTGTTTGAATTCTTTTTATTAAATTTATTAGAAAAACTTGTTTGCGATCTTCCCTGGGTCGAATGGATTAAAGAAGGATGGTTTATTCAAGGTCGCTAGACTGTCACGCGCTGAACGATTAGAAGGTAAGACAATCATTTGTTCGACTTTAACAAACATGACGCCAAATTTTAATGCTCTACACGAGCATGAAAAGCTGCCGGCGAAGTGTCACAGTTTTGGAAACTCTTTCAATAGATGACTGAGTTTTAATGCACTATATTAACAAAGACTTTATATTTGAAATCACTGATTTTGTGTAAACAATAGGGAATGTTAATCCTATTGACACGTCTACAATTTTTATTTTAATCTTAATAATACAGATTGGAAAGGCAAAAATTAGAAATTTTTCTCAGTGAATACAAATGCATTTGCAATAAAGATCAATATTAATAATAAATTCTTTTTTGCATATTATGCGATGTATACTGCAAGAAATTCATTCAGGTAGATGCAACATCCCTCAGAATGACATTATGTGTCGGCCGCCTGATTTCTGAAATTCAGAACTCGAAGATGCCCATGTTCGCACAGACATCACCGGTACCAATAGTAATGAAGAAATCAGGGAAAGGGCACTTTGAATTGATTACTAAATAAGCTAAATAAGGCAACCCTTACTCTTTGCTTTGTGACAATTTTTATAACGTTGATTAATACCATGGGGGGAGGGTTAACACAACCTTTCCGTATGAGACTTTGCCAGAGGATTTCGACACTTTCGGCTAACATTTCTATACACAACACAAGGTAATCTTGAATACTCTATATAATTTATATCATTGCAAAATATATAGGTTATTTTAATCTTTAATTGAAAATACAGTTTCATTTAGTATTGGTATACTATAATATATTTGTATTTTCATAATTTACATTAGATCAAAGTCACGTTCAACCTGTACAAAATTGTAAATGATATGAGTTAAAAATGCCTACAGAAAAGACTTTCTGAGGGTGCGTAATGTCTAAAGCTTGTGTGTGGTTTTTTTCGTTTTGAATTTTGTACCAATGAGAGTTTCTTACTCCTAATTTAATCACATTTGACTTTTACTAAAAAATATTTACTATCGCCAGTAACCATTGTAATTCCTTGATTTACATAGAGTAGTAGAGATTAGCACTGCTTATCACTGCCTCTATCCAAAACGAAACTACACAAACAATAGCATCAAATCCTTTGAAGCAATTACATATATCTCATGACTCATATAACATTATATTTGTGATATTCATTTATGCATGACACTAACTTATGGGGAGGACACTTCTGACATTCTTGCGTACCTTGATCTCCACTCAAATATTATTTTATAAATTTTTATATCAGAACAGAAGCAAAATACCCAGCAGTTCCAGACCGTTTATTCTATTTTCAAAGAGAAGTATTTGTTCTACCTTAGGCCTTATTTCTATTACACCTTCGTATAACGCCATAACAACATCTGTTTTCTTTCTCAAAGTCTCAAAATTCGTCTTTGATCAAACACAGCCTCAACTTTACCATCTCAGCTGTCTCTGCCTGTAGCTTCGTTTGTGCTTGTGGACGGACTTAATCCTGGTGATGACGACCTTTGTCCGGTGTGACCATGCTATCCTTTTTTTTCATTTTATATCATGTTTATATACATAGTTAACTGTGGTATCTATCAAACTGCTTTATTGTTATAATATATTGTATATAATATATATATATATATATATACTATGCCTTGAAAATATGACATTGAAACATGTTGGCAGTAAAAATTAACTATCTTTATCGGCGTTATTGATCTCATATTCTACTTTTATCAGACTTTGGATTTTATGTATATATATTAGAATGGTAATTTATTTATTTATCTATTCATGTACATTTTTTTTTGTATAATGATATATTGTATTTGGTGCCGGATAAGCATAAACCTTGGTTTGTTTCCGAAACCCTATTTATACTCTATAAAAAATGTGTAATAGGAATAAAATACTGTTTAAATCATCTTAGGCCTGTACATTTGGAAGAATCACTCCCAGGGTGTTCACATGGCAATATCCTTACCCTCCA